AAGTCCTGAAGACCTGTAGTCCTGAAGTCCTGAAGTCCTGAAGTCCTGTAGTCCTGAAGTCCTGTAGTCCTCAGACTCTGCTTCCTCCATAGAAGACATGTCAGAGAGGTTGAGAAGGTCTGAGAAGTATTCCTTCCACCTCCTGATGACATCACTGGTTGAGGTCAACAGCCCAGTGTTAGTGAAGGGCTGCTTCCTCTGACCTCATCTCCTCATCTCCTCATCTCCTCATCTCCTCATCTCCTCATTGAGCTCCTCCACATCTGAGCTTCAGCCTCAGCAAATAACGTGATGTGGATTCTTTTATAAACTACAACTCTCGTTTCTTTTGTAAACATTATTGTTTACAAAAGAACAACAAATATTTTAGTGATTAAAAATATATTTACTTTGATCATCAGTCATCATAATGTTTCTAATTTGAATGTGCAGCTGTTCAAGGTTACTACAGTGTAAAAACCTCTGGCCTCACATCGATGATACAGAAAATTTAGTTAAATTTAAAGTCACTTAATCTGTAAAAATCAGGCATAAAGTATCAAACATATGTAGGTTTAATTAGAAACTGTTTAAATGTATAAAACGGATCAGTAAAAAGAAGAAAATTCAGATCATTTTTCAGTTCGCAGATTACAGTCAGAGTGGGACTTCTTATTTATAGGCGATCTTTGGCTGACCGGAAGTTTAAGAAACAGCAAACTTCCGGTTAAAACGCGTCGGTAAAAGTGGGTTAAAGGTAAAAAAGACGACTTGCTGCACAGGAAACAGAAATCTGAGGCAGGAGTCGGACTAAAGATGCTCCAGAACACCGGGTGAGTCCGTCCAAARCAGAACCGGCTCCGTGGTTCCGACTGCAGAGGTTCTGGTTCGGTTCCTTCATGTAAAACTACCTTTAAAAGGAGTCTAATAAAAAGTCCAAGGTTTAACCCCGCGGTGGTTCTGACTGCAGAGGTTCTGTTCTTCTGGGTCTCATGCAGCCGAACCGTGGATTTAAAAATAAAGGTTTTTTTTTTTATCTTAGACCTGCTGCCTCGGTCCTCTGACCTTTGAGCAAGGCAATATAATAGAACTGTCAAAGTTTATTCACTAACTATCAGACCGGAAGTTTAACTTCAAAATAAAACATTACACTGTCTCTGTTGAGGCTTTTATTGTGAAAACTAAACCAACAGTTTCAAACAATGAATGCCAAACATTGAAATTAATCAAAAATAAATAATAGACACTAATTATTGATTAGTAATTAGTACTGACTACTGATTTAGTGAGTAGGGGGTCTCTGCAGTCTCTAAGTGRGAGTTTCTTGTTTTGTGGGAGGACTTTGTCCAGGATATGATTGGTCTGTTTGACTTTTGTGGGTGTGGTTTTTTTTATTGATCAGATTGACTGTTTAGGGCGGAGTTTAAAGAAGCTGGGGAGCAGCAGGGAGCAGCTTGGTCAAAACATCCAGGAAGTTTCTCCATGACTTGTGTTTGTGTTAACAGGAAGCTAGCTGGCTACACACTCTTCATTACCGGAGCGAGCCGAGGAATCGGAAAAGCTATTGCTCTGAAAGCTGCAAGAGATGGAGCTAATATTGTCATTGCAGCCAAGACTGCCGAGCCCCACCCAAAACTGCCTGGAACCATCTACACTGCTGCAGACGAGGGTGAGCTAACAGGCTAACCGCTAACAAATATCTGCTGCAGACGAGGGTGAGCTAACAGGCTAACTGCTAACAAATATCTGCTGCAGACAAAGGTGAACTAACAGGTTAACCTCTTACAAATATCTGCTGCTAAAACATTTGGAGAATATGGAGGTCAACGTCAACCTGTCTGTTGTGTGTTTCAGTGTGTAATTGTTGTGTGTTGTTGTGAGTTGCAGTGTGTAACTGTTGTGTAACTGCTGTGTGTTGCAGTGGAGGCAGCAGGGGGAAAGGCATTGCCATGCATCGTGGACATTCGAGATGAGCAGCAGATTGAAGCAGCAGTTCAGAAAGCTGTTGAAACCTTCGGAGGTGGAACACACATTCTTACCACCGCTCTTCTCTGATTGGTTCAGGGCTCAAACAGTTTGATCTAAAATATGATGTCATATCCTGTCGGCAGGTATTGACATCTTGGTGAACAACGCCAGTGCCATCAGTTTGACAGGAACTCTAGAGACATCAATGAAGAAGGTTGACCTGATGCTGGGAATCAACCTGAGAGGAACTTACCTGACGTATGACGCTGAGCACACGCATGTCACATGTCAAACACTGAGATGTCAGCAAACTCACAAATTAAAACTAACGAGCTTCAGTCAGTTGAAGTTAACGAGCTTCAGTCAGTTGATGTTAACGAGCTTCAGTCAGTTGAAGTTAACGAGCTTCAGTCAGTTGATGTTAACGAGCTTCAGTCAGTTGAAGTTAACGAGCTTCAGTCAGCTGTAGTTAACAAGCTTCAGTCAGCTGTAGTTAACGAGCTTCAGTCAGTTGAAGTTAACAAGCTTCAGTCAGTTGACGTTAACGAGCTTCAGTCAGTTGACGTTAACGAGCGTTTCTTTGTCGATCACAGTTGTGTTTCTGTCCTGGTCAGGTCGAAGATGGTCATCCCTCACCTGTTAAAAAGTCGCAGTCCCCACATCTTGAACTTGTCTCCTCCCTTGAACATGAACCCTGTCTGGTTCAAGAACCACACAGGTAACCATTTGAAGCCACTGACTCCGCCCCCTCCCTTTCTTCTCTAACATGTTTGTATGATCTTTCAGCGTACACGATGGCCAAGTATGGCATGTCTATGTGTGTCCTGGGAATGGCAGAGGAGTTCAGAGGTCAAATCGCYGTCAATGCTCTCTGGCCCAAAACTGGTCAGTAGCTAACGGTTTGCCTGCTAACAGGCTCCTCCCCCAACTTTCTAACTCTGTGTTGTTGCCGTAGCGATCCAAACAGCTGCAATGGATATGCTGGGCGGCGGCGACGTTGGTAAGCAGTGTCGTAAAGCTGACATCATCGCCGACGCCGCCTACACCATCCTGTCCAAAGCCAAGGACTACACGGGTCACTTCCTGGTGGATGAGGATGTTCTCAGAGCCCATGGGGTTCAGGACTTTGATCAGTACGCCGTCCAACCAGGTGACTGMAGGCTAACTATACTCACCTGGGTACTTACACTGTGGTACTCATGGAGACGTCTGATTGGTCCACAGGTCACCCCCTGCTGCCGGACTTCTTCCTTGATGAAGCACCGGAGACGCTGGTCAAACAGATGGAGGAGCACGGTGAGTACTACAGGAAGTACAACAGAATACACCAAAGAGTGCTACAGCCAGTACTACCAGAGTACTATGGGCCACTACAGGGAATACTACAGAGTACTATAGTGAGTTTAAAGGGTGTACAACAGAGAGTATTACAGAAAGTACTACAAGGATTACACAAACTACTACAAGGAGCACTCTAGAGAATGTGACAGGAAATACTCCAAAGTACTACAGAGAGTACTATGATACCAGTGGTGTTCAGACTTAGTGACTGCACCTCCTGCTGACTGATCTGACCTGTTGTTTCTGGATGCCAGGAGCAACACCCGCCTTCAAAACGCCATCATCATCATCATCATCATCATCATCATCAGCATCAGTGTCCCCGCCCACCTCAGATGGACCAATAGAAAGCACCTTTGATGTCATCAGAGCAGTAATCAATGAGGACGTTGTCAAATCAACACAGGCCATCTACAGATTCGACCTGTCAGGTAAACATCTTCATTATGTCCATATAAGGACATCCTTCCTACAGACGTGTCTTRTTGATGTACTGATGCCCATATAAGGAGAGCACAGTGGCACCTGGTTCCTGGACTTGAAGAGCGGTTCTGGCAGTGCAGGTGAAGGCGAGCCCCCCTCCAAAGCTGATGTCRTCATGACGATGGATTCCAGAGACTTCAGCAAGATGTTTTCAGGTGAGCTGTTTGTTAATAAAACTTTATTCATTTAAAACAAAACAACATCAATTCAATACAAAATTCCTTCTTGAGTAACAATTCATAAATGATACCCTACATAATTCTCCAACAGATTTACCTTTATCATTCTCTTAAATATACACGTTTTTAATGTCATCTTCCAGATTATTCCATAATTTAATTCCCTGGACTGAAGTACTCTGTTCCTTCAAACTGGTTCTAACTTTAGGTCCAACAAACATCTCTGTCCCTTCAGATTATAACAACTCACTCTTTTAACTAAACGTAACTGGATGTTTGAAGGTAATGTGTTTTATGAGCCCTAAACATAACTGATAAAATACTATAATCAACCAAATCAGAGAATTTCAATAACTTCAACTGATGAAACAATGAATTTGATGGTGACTGTAATTATAATGGATCTAATACTTTTATGTTTAATCCAGTAATTCATGACATCCTTTAATGACCCAGGTTTTCATGACCTGCTGTTCATCTGCAGAC